CAAGTAGCTGGGACTACAGGCGCCCGCCACAACGCCTGGCCATTTTTTGGTTGCAGCCATCATTGTTGTTTGGCGGGCCCGGGCTGAGGGATTCGAACCTTAGGTGTATGTGGCTGGTGCCTTAGCGGCTTGAGCCACAGGCGCCGAGCAGTATCACTTGTCTTAACTACCCTATAAGATTTTAAACTAAACTTGGGTAACTGTATGAAGATTAGATCAAAAGGGGACAAGACAAGGAAATTGAGTTAAGAGGCTCTACATGAGTCAACAATGGAGAAACAGATGAATTCAGGATAGAGTTTTAAAAACTGCAGAACTTGAAAAAAAAAAAGACTGCAGGATTTGCTGATGAGTTAGATGTAGAAGCTGAGAACAACTGAAGAATCAAAATGACATTTACTGAGATGGCCAATTCAGTGTGTGTTGGGGGGCGGGGGGAAGTTCCATTGTAGACACAGGGTATACTGTGCAAGTTTGCCATTCCTTATAGATATCCAGATGGAGATAACAAATAGGTAGTTGGTTATTAGTCTGGGTCTCAGGGAGAGGCACAAACTGGAAATATATATTTGGGAGTCATCTTCATAGTTAAAGCCAATAAGTGGATAAAGTAGTCCAAGGAGCGCAAGGGGAGGAAACCTACCCCTAGAGAACTCCCAAAATGAAAGGCTGCCGGACTGAGCATGGATGTACGAGAAGAACGAAGAGTATGTACGGCGTTTGGGAAGTCAGCAGAAGAAACATTGTCAGAAGGAAATGAGACATTGGTTATAGGCTGGCCCACGGTAGCCGCTGAAAAACCCACGTCTACTGTGCCGCTAGCCCGGTTGCCACCACCGCCCCACACTGCGGCTCTCTGACTGCCCCGCCCTTCCGCCGTTCCGGAACCCTCGGGAACGACGCCGCGGCGGCCATCTTGACTGTGGGCAGCAAACCGCGCGCCTGCGCAGTGGGGATTTCCCGTGGCGGTAGCCGGAAGGTGCGGAAACTGCAAGCTGCGGCTAAGATGACCCAGGCGGAGAAGGGAGACGCGGAGAACGGGAAAGAGAAGGGCGGGGAGAGGGAGAAGGAGCAGCGCGGAGTGAAGCGGCCCATCGTGCCTGCGCTGGTGCCAGAGTCGCTGCAGGAGGTGGGCGACGGGCGCGGGTCTCGGTTCGGACCCGTACCTTTGTCTGGGTCCTCGCTTCCGGGCCTGGGGGAGGGCCGATTGGGACCGAGGGGCTGTCGGGCTGGTTATTGGGACCGAGGGGCCGTCGGGCTGGTTTGGGCCTCTGTCTTGCAGGTCCCAGCCACTGGTGGGTACTGAAGAGGGATGGCCTTTCTGCCCTTCCCCGGGTCTTTGTGCGCCGGGGGAGTGGGGGGAGGGGAACACGTGCGCGGCGGAGTCCCCACACCGCCCCAGCAGAGTGTGTGTGGCCGGGCTCCGGCTCTGAGCCCAGCTTCCCCGGCCATCCAGCGACCTCAGTGATGGCACCTATTTCCCTAGTGCTGCGAGGTTTAAATGCTTCCGGATAGAGTTTAGCACAGGGAGCGTCAGGCTGTATTTGTTAAGGGATGAAGTTCGAGGTTGAAGCTTTTTCTATTGTTAAGGAAGTAGCAGAAGGAGGAAGTCATTTTAAGCTTAGAAGCAAGGAAAAGGTAGATACTTGTCTAAATAAACATTAAAGGTGGCGCCTGTGGCTCAGTGAGTAGGGCGCCGGCCCCATATACCGAGGGTGGTGGGTTCAAACCCTGCCCCGGCCAAACTGCAACAAAAAAATAGCCGCGTGTTGTGGCGGGCGCCTGTAGTCCCAGCTACTTGGGAGGCTGAGGTGAGAGAATCGCCTAAGCCCAGGAGTTTGGAGGTTGCTGTGAGTTGTGACACCACGGTATTCTACCGAGGGCGATAAAATGAGACAGTCTCACTAAAAATAAATAAAGAAATAGACATTAAAAGATTGAATGTCAAAAACAACAAGATTAAGCCAAACTAGAGTTAAGTAATTCGCAATAGCATGGCAGGCAAGAGACTTTTGTTTATACACATGCCTTACTAATTAGTAAATCACACATGGATATTCCCATGGGAAACTGGACAGAGGCAAAGTACAGGTCACAGAAGAAATAAGGAGGTGTTAAATGATCAGAATTTCACCTGAGAAAGGTTAAGAATAATAAATAATCTAACTGGTATGGCAGTAGGAAGTACCTAGCACAGTGCCAGGCACATGGTGAGCTCCCAGAATGGTTATTCTGTTGCACAGGCCTGTTTTCTCCACTCATCAAGAGGGCAAGCCAGGTCTGTAAAGGTCTTACCTGCCAGTTCTGCCTTCTAGGGTTGGCATTGGGAAGAGAGCGCTCATAGTTGGGATTGGGACCGCAGAGCTCAGTTTGGTGTGGAATGCCCTAGTGCAGAGGATGATACTTGGAATGTACAGCAAATACCTCCAGTGCTGACAGTCAGGGATAGTTTCTTCAAAGGAAGTAACATCTATACCAAGACTTGAAGAGTATTAGGAGCTAGCCAGGGAGAGGGAGGAAATCTCATAGAAGAGATCTGGGCCACCAGGAGTGGCACTGAAGGCACAGCTGGCAAATTGGGGTGCCAGTTACAGAATTGAAGGAGAAGACTGGAGATTTTAGCAGTGAAATCTTTGACCAGTGAGGTCATTTAAGCTAAAGAGTGTGGCTTCGTCCAAGGCACTGGAAAACTTTGAAAGGCTTTTCTTCATTGAAAGCTAGCATGCCCTCAGTCGTTGCTACATAATTAATTCCTTTAATCCTCACAATAACCATGAAGTAGGAAATTCATCCAGAGCAAATGAGTGGCGGTCTGAATTTGTAGTCAGTTCTGTGAATTGAGACTCTGGCCTGTAACTACTATAGCAACATTTCCTTCAGTTACTTTTCAGTCACTTGTACAGGTTTTGCCAGATCCTACATGGCAGCTCTACTGTTTGCTTAATAACTTTTTTTACTCAGTCTTACCTGAAACTGTAATATCCAGAAAATGATGTGTGGGGTATACTGGTAGTTTACCCCTCCCCCAACATAGTAATATAAATAATGTAAATATTAAAAAATGTCTGTCCATAATTTGGGAAACCGCATTTACTACCCTGGAGTTTCCTAATCAGTGTGCCATTAGTGAGGTATAGGGATTCCTGATGGCAAGCAGCCTCATCTGTTTACACCAGTCTGTTGGACAGATCTTGTCTGCCATAGCACACAAAAGCTTGGGAAGGGCTTTGCGCCTGTAGCTCAAGCGGCTAAGGCGCCAGCCACATACACCAGAGCTGGCAGGTTCGAATCCGGCTTGGGCCTGCCAAACAACAATGACAACTATAACCAAAAAATAGCTGGGTGTTGTGGTGGGCACCTGTAGTCCCAACTACTTGGGAGGCTGAGGCAAGAGAATTGCTTAAGCCCAGGAGTTGGAGGTTGCTATGAGGTGTGACGCCATGGCACTCTACCCAGGGTGACAGCTTGAGGCTCTGTCCCCGCCCCCCAAAAAAGCTTGGGAAGTATTGTTCAAAACCCTGCCATGAGGGCAGCACCTGTGGCTCAGTGAGTAGGACCCCGGCCCCATATACCGAGGGTGGTGGTTTTGAAACTGGCCTGGCCAAACTGCAACAAAACCTTGCCACATGAGAGTGATGCCATCATCATTGGACAAATACCTCCCAATCTGCCCCATAGCATGGGCTGGCATAGAGTAGTGAACAAAACAGAAGTGGTTCCTAGTTCCAAGTTTACTGTCTGTTGGGAGGTCACACAGATAATTACAAGAGTGATAAAAGTCATGAAGGGATGCTGTAAGATCATATTGCCAGGAGACCAAAAGACCTAGTCTGACCTAGTCTAACTTCAGACCTGAAAGGAGTAGTAAGATTTAGCAGGGAGAAGGAACACCTCAGGCAACGGAATTGCTTGTGGAAAGGCTCCGAAGTCTTCAAGTTAGACTCACAGGGGTCCTCAAACTTTTTAATCAGGGGCCAGTTCACTGTCCCTCAGACCATTGGAGGGCCGGACTGCGGGCCCCGGGACGAATCAGCTGCTAAGTAGGACAGGCAGCGGCAGCAAAAACCCCCAGTGGGCTGGATAAATGTCCTAGGCGGGCTGCATGTGGCCTGTGGGCCGTAGTTTGAAGACGCCTGATAGAGGATCTAGAGGCATCTGGATAAAGAGAATTAAAGAGACAGAAAAGGAAGCAGTTCTAGACTCTAGAACAGTGGTTCTCAACCTTCTTAATCCCGTGACCCTTTAATACAGTTCCTCATGTTGTGGTGACCCCCCAACCATAAAATTCTTTTCTTTTCTTTTTTTTTTTTGAGACAGAGCCTCAAGCTGTCCCCCTGGGTAGAGTGCTGTGGCCTCACAGCTCACAGCAACCTCCAATTCCTGGGCTCAAGCGAGTCTCCTGCCTCCGCCTCCCAAGTAGCTGGGACCACAGGCGCCCGCCACAACGCCCAGCTATTTTTTTTGTTGCAGCCATCATTGTTGTTTGGCGGGCCCTGGCTGGATTCGAACCCACCACCTTAGGTGTATGTGGCTGGTGCCTTAGCCACTTGAGCCACAGGCATCGAGCCCATAAAATTATTTTCATTGCTATAGAAGAGTAGGTGCTGAGGGTCAGGCTGGCGCTGTGGTTCTCAACAGGGGGATCCTTGTTGTCAGAGGCATTGCCAGAGTCCCTTCTCATTACTCCTTGGTGAAACTCTAAGCCGTGCAACAAGTTTATGTGATAAAGATTCTCCCCAAGTAATTGAGATTCTGCCCCCTTGAAAATTATGTAGGGGTGGCTCGGCACCTGTGGCTCAAGTGGCTAAGGCTCCAGCCACATACACCTGAGCTGGCGGGTTTGAATCCAGCCCGGGCCCACCAAACAACAATGATGGTTGCAACCAAAAAACAGCCTGGTGTTGTGGCAGGTGCCTATAGTCCCAGCTACTTGGGAGGTAGAGGCAGGAGAATCTCTTGAGCCCAGGTGTTGGAGGTTGCTGTGAGCTGTGATGTTATGGCACTCTACCCAGGGCAACAGCTTGAAGCTCTGTCTCAAAAAAAAGAAAGAAAGAAAGAAAAGGAAAATTATGTGGGGGAAACAAACATCATGTAAAAGTAAAGCTCCCAGGCATCACTCACCATCCTGGATTGTACTGGTTTGTTCTTGTTTACCATCACCCAGGAATGGATTGTAAAAGGTCACAAAGTTTCTGACTTCTAAGGATAGAATTGTAAACTCTAGCTTTTTAGCCCCAAGCTTTTGCAAGATCATGTAAGTAGCCCTTAACCAACAATGGTAAGGCATTGTCAACGACCAAAATGCAGTTTGTGAACATACTCTGAAGTGGTTAATGTATAAAAGTGTAGTTTCTTTTTTGAGACAGAGCCTCAAGCTGTCCCCCTGGGTAGAGTACCGTGGTATCACAGCTGACAGCAACTTCCAACTCCTGGGCTCAGGGGAGTCTCCTGCCTCCGCCTCCCAAGTAGCTGGGACCACAGGCGCCCGCCACAATGCCCGGGTATTTTTTTTTTTTTTTGGTTGCAGCCATCATTGTTGTTTGGCGGACCCGGGCTGGATTTGAACCCTCCACCTTAGGTGTATGTGGCTGGCACCTTAGCCACTTGAGCCACAGGCGCCGAGCCAAAGCTTTAGTTTCTAGCATTACAACCTAACATTCTATCCTTACATTAATTTCTTCCCTGTCCTCTTTGACTACTGGTTATTAAGCCTGAGCAATCACGTTAGTCACTTCTGGAGGTTTTTAAAATTGCCAATTCCTGGGCTCTCTCCTTGGAGATTTGAGATTAGAAAGTTTTTAGTGGAGGCTGAGGGTCTATTTTTTGTTTCCATGAACATCTTTAGGTGATTCATATTTATGGAACCCAAGACATAGTGTTCTCCATACTCTTTTATTCCATGTTTAACTGTTTCCTTTCTTTCTTTTTTGGAGACAGAGCCTCAAGCTGTTGCCCTGTTTAGAGTGCTGTGGCATCACAGCTCACAGCAAGCTCCAACTCCTGGGCTTAAGCGATTCTCTTGCCTCAGCCTCCGAGTAGCTGGGACTACAGGTGCCCGCCACAATGCCCGGCTATATTTTGGTTGCAGTTGTCATCTTTGTTTGGCAGGCCCAGGCTGGATTTGAACCTGCCAGCTCTGGTGTATGTGGCTGGTGCCTTAGCTGCTTCAACTATAAGCACCGGGCCAACTATTTTCTTTAGTAGATGGAAAGTTCTTTGATAGCAGGGACTTTATCTTAGTTATCATTGCACCTGCAGTGCCTCGTGCATAAATACTCAATAATTATATATGTTGACTTGGATTGGATAATTTTGGTTTTACTCATTTAGACGTATTTGATAAACTCTATACTGTGAATCAGTCTGAGGGAACACAGAGATACAAAATGAATTTGTGTCCAGGTAGAGAGAAGTAATTGAATACCACTCAAAGAACTACTTTAACTGAATTATTATACCTTTGAGTCTAATGATTTTTATAGGAAACTAACTTGTTAGTTTAACTTGGTACCTGTATGTTATTTAACTTGTCATTTATGTGTTATTTACTAAGGTCATGTGTCTATGTTTTATATTTGCAGCAAATTCAGAGCAACTTCATCGTTGTCATACACCCAGGTTCAACAACCTTAAGGATTGGTCGGGCCACTGACACACTTCCTGTCAGCGTTCCTCATGTCATTGCACGAAGGCACAAACAACAAGGGCAGCCTCTGTACAAGGACAATTGGCTCCTAAGGGAGGGACTAAATGTAAGTTAGAAATGGAGGACCCAGGGAGAAAGCCCAAGGTTATGGTTACTTCCCTGGGAGGCTTAGACACTCATATGTACCTGGGAGTCTTACAGAGTCTCACTATGTTTCCTCCGTAGAGTGCTGTGGCATCACAACTCACAGTAACGTCAAACTTATGGGCTCAAGTGATTATCTTGCCTCAGCCTCCCAAGTAGCTGGGACTACAGGTGCCCGCCACAATGCCCAGCTATTTTTTGTTGCAGTTGTCATTGTTGTTTTAGCTGGCCCAGGCTGGGTTTGAACCCACCACCCTTGGTATATGTGGCTGGCGCTATAACCACTGTGATATAAGTGCCAAGCCACCTTTTGACTTTTTTATTTGTAATACAAGATTACTTGGAATTCTTAAGATTAATACATACAACAAATACAAAGAAAATGCTACTTGTTGATGAGGGAACATTTCATATTGATGGGTTAAATTAGTAGTTTGCCAAATTGCTTTCTCTTTTCACTAAATCTTTTATACTAGTCATCTTTTATTTTTCCCCCCAGAAACCTGAAAGTAATGAGCAAAGACAAAATGGCCTTAAAATGGTGGACCAAGCAATATGGTCTAAAAAGATGTCAAATGGTACAAGACGGATTCCTGTGTCCCCTGAACAGGTTCAGTCACCTCTTCAGATTTATTCTTTTGCTACCACTTTATATCATGATGGCTCTCACTTATTCCTCTTATATCAAATATGCAAATAATAAGATGAGATTTCCTTAAAAAGGAAGGTAATCCCTTCATAACTACTTTGGGAATACCTGAATCAGAACTTCGGGAATACCTGAATCAGTGTCATAAGTGCTTAGGGAGGCCATATAATTTATAAGGTGATGTTTCTTAAGGCAACTTGATGAAACTTTACACTTGAGTATGTATAATTCCAGGGTCTTGGTGGGGAGCTATTTTCTTGCTGCATCCTCCAACTTATCATGGTTAACCAGTACTATTAGGAATGTACAAGAGTCTGGGTTATATATAAGTTTGTGTTCAACTTTAAGCAGAATATAGTGTTAATTGTGAACCGGCTGTGAATCACAGCCTAGGTGTTAAAATTGTTGGAAAAATCAAGATTGTGGAAAAGGACAAGAGAATACTTTCTTGACCAGTTCGCATTTTGCCACAAATCTTGGATTTATCTAACTAAAATTTGCCATTTGTGTCTGGTCTGGGGAGAGAGGAAAAAAGGGACTCTTATACGGCCCCCCTTTTCTTGTATACATTCAGATAGTTTTTTGATAATTTTTCTTTTCAGACACGTTCCTACAATAAACAGATGCGACCTGCAATTTTAGATCACTGTTCTGGAAATAAGTGGACGAACACATCTCATCACCCTGAGTATTTGGTAGGAGAAGAGGTAGGAAACTTCTTTACAATGTAATGGAAGAAAAGAAACCTGATCCTCCTAAAGCTTGTTAGGTTTAGGAAAGCTCAGTAGGTGCTGTGAAGGGGACAAGTAAAGAATTTCTCTAGGCCAAGATTAGGATGTAAAAGTATAAGTTTGTTTTATATTTTAGAAGTGGGGGAGAAGGGAAAGAGAGGGAAAAGGGGCAAGAAACAGCATCCCCGAGAAAGAAAGCATGCCCCCCTGAGGTCTAGTGAGTAGCTGAATTTAAGGGGACCAAGAAGGTAACTGCACCAAGTTCAGAAGGTGTGCTGAATGTGAATGCTGTGTCCTTTTTTTTCCTCCAGCAAGACTGAAGACATTTTTCCAGATGTTCACAGTCTTGGGTCTCGATGGCTTATATTCCTTTGTTCCTCCGGGACGCTCAGGAATACCTTGAGGCTGAAGAAACAAATTCTAAAAGGGAAAGGAGCTGGTGAAATATAAAGAGAAAGAATTTACATTTCTTTTTGATCTGGTCCAATGGCTTGAGAAAACAGAAAGGGGGCCAGCAAGAGAAGTAAAGGCAGAGAGAGATTGACTTCTGTCCTCACTAAAAAACCATGAGTTAATACTTTTTCTGTTACTTCACTATAGAGACCTAACTGACTACCATCTTTACAAAACTCACTTACTTGACCATTTGGTTCCAGTTGTTCCCTGGTATTCCGTAACCCTCTTTGAGGACCAGATAGTCACACTGACTCCTAAAATGTTGCATACTTCGCTTCTCTTCATTTGGAAGAGTCAGCTAATGCTAATGATAATTTCTGGATTTAGATTTTTGGATATGAATTGAGAAAAACCTGAGAGAAGTTTTAACAATACCCGCATCTCCCTCCCTCATTTTCTAGGCCTTGTATGTTAATCCATTGGACTGCTACAATATTCACTGGCCTATCAGGAGAGGTCAGTTAAACATTCACCCAGGCCCTGGGGGCTCCCTTACAGCTGTTCTGGCAGATATTGAAGTAATATGGTCTCATGCAATACAAAAATACCTAGAAATCCCACTGAAAGATTTGAAGGTAAGCTAAAATTCCCAGGTATTTGGATTGCTTTAGAGATTAATAAAAGTCATTTGTAATATAGTGTCCTTGAAGCATTCTCAGCTGTAAGGATGGTATCTTCTGTCCCCACCCCCATCGTTTCTCTTTTTCTTACTCTGTTTGTGTCTCTCCAGTGCTCTGAAATCAGCAAGCTTAGGTTTATGCCTTCTTTCTGGACCTTACTCAGACTTATCAATTGTTTTGTTTTTTCTTTCATAAGTTTTAAATGATTCCAAGAGAGGGAAAAGATAGCAATTTCAGTTTTTTCATAAAACTCAAAGGATAGCACAGAGGTTTGAGCTGTTTGTTATGTTGGGTCTTTCACCATGGGTGCTACTCGTTTGGACAGAATCCTTTCTGAAGACAAGTGTGCTTGTCTGGACTTAAATAGTAACCCTTTCATCCTTTTTTTCTTTGTTCTTTTTAGTATTACAGATGTATCTTGCTAATTCCTGATATCTATAATAAACAGCATGTGAAAGAACTAGTGAATATGATACTAATGAAGATGGGTTTTTCAGGTATGTTTGATATCCAGTGAAATCTACTTTAAATAAATTAGTTTCCCTTTTTCAGTGACAGGATTAATCTAATTCACTCATTTGTTTAAATCAACGGTTCTCAACCTGTGGGTCACGACCCCTTTGGTGGTCGAACGACCCTTTCACAAGGGTAACCTAAGAGCATCCTGCATATCAGATACTTACATTACAATTCATAATAGCAAAATTACAGTTATGAAGTAGCAATGAAAATAATTTTGTGGTTGGGGGGTCACCACAATATGAGGAACTGTAGTAAAGGCTCATGGCATTAGGAAGGTTGAGAACCACTGATCTAAATGCTTTTCCTAAAAGGACCAACACTGTTGCCAGTCTTGCCCAGTGGTTCCAGGTTCATGACTTGAGTTGATTAGTTGTTTTAGGGTCTTTAGTGCTTCTCAGCGGATTATTTCTCTGCCTTTTTTTCCTGCTTCAGGAATTGTGGTCCATCAGGAGTCTGTGTGTGCCACCTTTGGAAGTGGCTTAAGCAGCACTTGTATTGTAGATGTTGGGGACCAGAAGACAAGCGTCTGCTGTGTGGAGGATGGAGTGTCTCATCGGAACACTCGGTAAGGAACTTAGGCGTTCACACTCTGCACCGTCTCTCCCCTCACAGTCTTTTCAACTAGAAATCACAAGTTAGAAATTATAAGAAATTTTGTCTGCATAGGAAACCAGCAAGATTGTGGAAAAGCAAATTCTAGCAAGGATAAAACAAATTATTTTACCCTTCCTGTTTCTTTTTTTTTTTTTTTTTTTTTTGAGACAGAGCCTCAAGCTGTCCCCCTGGGTAGAGTGCTGTGGCATCACAGCTCACAGCAACCTCCAACTCCTGGGCTCAAGCGAGTCTCCTGCCTCAGCCTCCCAAAGCTGGGACCACAGGCGCCCGCCACAACGCCCAGCTATTCTTTGGTTGCAGCCGTCATTGTTGTTTGGCAGGTCCGGGCTGGATTCAAACCTGCCACCCTAGGTGTACGTGGCTGGCGCCTTAGCCAGTTGAGCTATAGGCGCCGAGCCACCCTTCCTGTTTCTAATAGAGAATTACCTCAGCAGCCCCTGAAAATCCAGGTTTGTCTTGTGTGCTGGTGTTTGAAAAGGTTAGCATCATGTCTTTCGTTGTGCTTTGGCATGGAGATACTAATCACACTCTCACAGCAAAGCTTTCGTTAGGAAAGTCACGCAGCAGAAAATAAGGTTATTTTCAGATCTGAATTCTCTAGATAGCTAGTGTTTTTTGAGTATCTACCTTTCTCTTCATAATGGTGTTTATGACTGATTAATAACTTTCTGATAATAACACAAGTTAATAACGTAACCATCAGGAGCAGGTGTAGCACTTGTCCTCCATTGGTTGGGTAAGCCTGACACGGGTGAGCACTCTCAGGCAGTGCCAGGATAGTTTCTCTGCAGCATTTTGTGCTCTTAAGAGGTCGTCTTCTGGCTCAGCACCCATAGCACAGTGGTTACAGCACCATCCACATGCATTGACGCTGGCAGGTTTGAGCCCAGCCTGGACCAGCTGAACAACAGTGACAACTGCAATAAGAAAATAGCCAGGCGTTGTGGTGGGTGCCTGTAGTCCCAGCTACTTGGGAGGCTGAGGCAAGCGCTTAAGCCCAAGAGTTTGAGGTTGCTGTGAGCTGTGACACCACAGCACTCTACCAAGGGCAACATAATAAGACTCTGTCTCAAAAAAAAAGAAAAAAAAGATAATCTTCTTTTGTCTCTGAGGATGCTTTAATTTTTTCCTGTTCCTCATAGGTAATTATGTAGAGAAACAAATTTGAACAAGGTGCCAAATGGTCTGTGAGATTGGTTAATCTGCTACCTCCCACCCCAAGTTACAATGCATTCTAAAACCCAGTATGAGTTATTTTGGCTCATGCATTGTTCAAATTATCTACTGCCACTTATTCTCAAAGTATGGAGAAAATGCTAGACCCAAGGTTTCCTACCAGTAAAATAATAGAATGGAGGTAACAGAGGTCTTTCCAAATTGTAGAAACCTTCAGTTACTTGGTAGTTTTCTCTGAGCTTTTCTTGAAACTTCCTGTGTTTCACTGTGCTTAATGAGTTCTTAAAATACCCTTTGTACCTTCTTAACCAAGAGATTAACCATCTGCTCTTTTTGTTTAATGTAGGCTCTGTCTGGCATATGGGGGATCTGATGTGTCAAGATGTTTTTACTGGCTAATGCAGCGAGCTGGGTTCCCTTACAGAGAATGCCAGTTAACGAATAAAATGGATTGCCTTCTTCTGCAGCACCTTAAAGAAACTTTTTGTCACTTAGATCAGGTGGGAGCAAAATAAATTTGTTTCTAGGAAAAAATTAAGATATTTAAAAGATACTTTAACATTTAACAAAAAAGTTAACAGTGGCCAAGCATGGTGGCTCACACCCGTAATCGTAGCACTCTGGGAGGCCGAGATGGGTGGATTGCTCGAGCTCATAATTTCGAGATCAGCCTGAGCAAGAGTGAGACCCCCATCTCTAATTAAAAATAAAAAGTTAACAATGTTATGCTGCCCTCTCAATCCAAGTTGGTAAATCCTTGAAGCTGAAGCACATAAGGACTCAGAACTTTTTGGTAAGGTCAGAGAGGTGAAGATATGTTTCAGGCTGTGGAAAACACAGCTTAACTTATTTAGGAAAGAGTTAAGCAAATTGCTCTCTTTAGAAGTCTCATCATTCTGATAAAGTCTGAAGACAGGTGTAATGAATATAGCTGATACATATTTAGGTCTGCATGTAATTAAATGTTACAATTTGAAGCACTTAATATTATGAGCAGTCAGTATTTAATCACTGTTATATATGGATTGCTATCTTTTTTACTTTTTTGTTTTGGACTTTGTTATTTTTTACTTTTTTCAGGTAATATTCTAAATTTTTAAAAAACATTGGGAAACTTAAAGACACTAAATTTTCCAGTTATTAAGGGAATTTGCTTCTTGATTTGGATCATTGCTTATATTGACATATGTTGATAGTGGGAAAAAAATGCAGATTGGAAATTTCAGAGATGTTAAATGAGAAAGCAGTAATTGAACTCTCATTTTATTAAGTTATACTGAGAGTATTAAAAAGTTGTAGGGTGGGCTGGGTGTGGTGACTTAGACCTGTAATCTCACGCTTTGGGAGGATCACTTGAGGCTAAGAGTTCAAGACCTGCCTGGGCAATAGTAATGAGACCCTATCTCTACAGAAAACAAAAACAAAAATTAGCTAGTTATGGTGGTGCACACCTACAGTCCCAGATACTTAAGAGGCTGAGGCAGGAGAATCACTTAAACTAGGTGTCCTCAAACTACGGCCCGCGGGCCACATGCGGCCCACCTAGGACATTTATCCAGGCCTACCGGGTGTTTTTGCTGCCACTGCCTGTCCTGCTTAGCAACTGACTCGTCCCGGGACCCACAGTCTAGCCCTGCAATGGTCTGAGGGACAGTGAACTGGCTCCCTGTTTAAAAAGTTTGAGGACCCCTGCTTAAACTCAAGAATTCTAGGCTGTAATGAGCTGCGATGGCACCATTGCCTTCCAGCCTAATCAACTGTCTCTTAAAAAAAGTTGAGGGTGGCGCCTATGGCTCAGTGAGTGGGGCACCGGCCCTATATGCTGAGGGTGACGGGTTTGGGCCCGGCCCAGGCCAAACTGCAACAGAAAAAAAATAGCCGGGTGTTGTGGTGGGCGCCTGTTGTCCTAGCTACTTGGGAGGCTGAGGCAAGAGAATCACCTAAGCCCAAGAGCTGGAGGTTGCTGAGAGCTGTGACACCACGTCACTCTACCGAAGGTGATAAAGTGAGACTCTGTCTCTAAAAAAAAAAAAAAAAAAGAAAGTTGTAGGGGAGCCTTTTTATAGGTGCTGTTGCTGTTTAACTAATGAAGAGGCTTATGCATAATTTGAAGAGTTTATATCATTTTTACTAATTCACTGACAGTATCTTTTCCTGGAATCAGGACATCTCTGGGCTTCAGGACCATGAGTTTCAGATTCGACATCCAGATTCTCCTGCCCTTCTTTACCAGTTTCGATTAGGAGACGAAAAACTCCAGGTACATGTAGATATATATATTTCCATGGGTAGAAGGAAAGCCATACAGGTTCAGTGAAACTGAATTTGTACTTGATAGAAATACTGTGAGGTCAGAATATAAGTAGATTGTAAAATTATCCACTAAACCGACATTTAAGCCACTGACAGAATAGATGAGAACAGAGCTGAGGAGCATCTTAACCTCTATGTGATGAGTTGTTAGAGAGGCCCCGTTATGGGATTATAAACTGGGTTATGAGGAACTTATTTTATATTTGCTTTGAGACTTCTTTCAGATGGTATCAGAGACCCACGAATTTGGATGATGAGTTGAGTGTTCTGCCATGTCATACATGGAAGAAAAAATGCTCCTCCCCAGAAGGGCGTGCTGCCCAGTCTGACCTAAAGAATCTGATGTGCTAGTTTTGGTTTTGGAAGAACAAGATACAGTGGGTCGTTTTTTTCAGGAGGGAGTGTCTTTTGTTGATCACTCTTTTCCTTCCATTCACAGGCTCCAATGGCTTTGTTTTACCCAGCGACTTTTGGAATTGTTGGACAGAAGATGACGATTTTGCAGCACAGATCCCAGGGTGACCCTGAGGACCCTCACGATGAACAGTACCTTCTGGCCACTCAGAGCAAGCAGGAACAGGTTTATAGCAGTGCTGGTGGGAAAGGAAGACAGCTTTATCCCTGAAGGAGAAGTGTTGCCAGAGTTAATAGAACTTTGCAATCACTGCAGTCTCCCAGCATACTAACACTGATACTGCTTTTAGAAGAGGAGCTGGGCTGGAATGGTGGCTCACAGTTCTAGCACTCTGGGAGGCTGAGGCAGGAGGATCATTTGAGGCCAGGAGTTCGAAACCAGCCTGAGCAAAGCCAAGCCCATCTCTACTAAAAATAGAAAAATTAACCAGGACTGGTGGCGCATGTATGTAGTCCAGCTGCTTGGGAGGCTGAGCCCAGGAATTTGACATTGCTGTAAGCTGGGCTGGGGCCATGGCACTCTAGCCAGGGCGACAGAGAGAGACTGTCTCACAAAAGTAAAAGAAAAAGATAAGTAGAGCTCGACTGAGATCTGAATTGAAAATCTGGATGACAGATTTCTCTATTTAAACATTAACCTAATTTTCCAATCACCAGTCCTTATTTTTAAAAGCTAACTTAATGAAGACGCTTCCCTTTTGGCTTATGTTATTTACTTAGACTATTTACATCTCAATATTAGTATTCAGAGTAGTATTTTTAGTAAAATGTCATCTATTTTATTTTTAAATTTCAGAATGTTATGGGGTCCAGACGTTTTGGTTACATGCATTACTTTTGTACAGTTTGAGTCAAGGTTATAATTACCTCTATTGCCTAGGTAGTACGCATTGTGCCCATTGGTGTGAATTCACTCATCCTCCGCCCACCCTTTCCACCTGCTTGGTTTTCACTGAATTTTACTACCAAGTGCACATGCGTGTTGATCATTTACTTCCATGTTAAAAGTGAAGGGCACGTGTAGTAATTGTTTTTCCATTCTTTGACACGTCACTTAGGAGGATGGTTTCCATTTCCATCTAGGTTGTTACAAAAGGTATTAGTTCACTTTTTTATGGCCAAGTAATACTCCATAGTGTGCATATACCACATTTTATTAATCCATTCATGTTTTGGTGGGCACTTGGGTTGTTTTCAAATCTTTGCAGTTGTAAATTGTGCTGCTATAAACATTCAAATCCAAGTGTCTTTTTTATAAAAATCACTTTTTTTCCTTTGGGTAAATATCCAATAGTGGGACTGCTGGTTCTATCGTTTGAGGTAGTTCTGTGAGGTATCTCCGTACTACTTTCCAAAGAGGATGTACTGGTTTGCAGTCCCACTAACAGTGCATTAGTGTTCCTTTCTCTCTGCATCCATACCAGCTTCTCTGATTTGGGGACTTTTTGATAAAAGTCAATCACCAAAGTTAGGTGATTTCTCATTGTGGTTTTGATTTGCATTTCCCTAATGATTAGAGGCAATGAATATTTTTTCTTTTTCTTTTTCTTTTTTTGAGACAGAGTCTTACTGTGTCTCCCTTAGTAGAGTGCTGTAGTGTCACAGCTCACAGCAACCTCCAACTCTCGGGCTTAAGCAATTCTTTTGCCTCAGCCTCCCAAGTAACTGGGACAACAGGCACCCACCACAGTGCTCAGCTATTTTTTTGTTGTAGTTGTCGTTGTTTGGCAGGCCCAAGCTGTGTTCGAAACCAGCAGTACTGGTGTATGTAGCTGGCGCCCTAGCCGCTGAGCTACAGGCACCCAGCCGGGAACGAATATTTTTTCTTGTATTTATTGGCCCTTAGCCTATCTTCTTTCGAACAGCTTCTGTTCATGTCTTTTGTCCACTTTTTAAATTTTTATTTATTTTTTTTGAGACATAATTTTTTTGTTTTAAAGAGACAGGGGTCTTTCAAGTTGATCAACTTGGTCTCAAGCTATCCTCTCACTTTGACCTCCTGAAGAGCTGGGAGTACAGGTGGGAGCTGCTGTGCCTGGCCTTTTTTTTTTTCTTTATTTTCATAGCAATTCCTTCTCATTAAATGTCTGGTAGCACTCACCAGCAAATATCCTCTACCAACAAGTCCCAAAAGATGGTTTTGCTGGTCTTGAATGAACAAAAGGTGACAAAATGAGAAAAAAAAAAAAAATGAAGACTTTACAGCCTTTGTATTAACCTGGATGGAAGTGGACATTCTTAGTAAAGCATCACAAGAATGGAGAAGCATGAATCCTATGTACTCAATTTTGATAATGAAGACA